AAGATTTATCAGCGGAATTAGCTTCAAGAACAAAAGCAGAAAGACACAAACAGGATGAAGTAAAAGTAGGAAGTGCAAAACGTAAAGCAAATGCTCAAATGGCTCAACAAGTTAGTCCACCTAATAGAGGTGGAAGGCCAAAGAAATATAAGGCTCAAGGAAGTAACACTACACCACCAGGAGCTTCAACAGCACCTACTACGAATAGAATCAAAAAAGAAAAATTATATTGTTTATGTAGAACACCATATGATGAAACAAAGTAAGCATTGAAAAAAATTTCTTTCTTTAAATAATATATATTTAATGATTGTCAAATATTTTGTCAAATTAGATTTTATGTGGGATGCGATCTCTGTAACAATTGGTTTCATGGAGATTGCGTTGGAATCACAGAAGAAATGTGTAAAACTCTTTCAGAGTTTGTTTGTACAGAATGTAGACATGCAAGAGATACACAAGAGCTATATTGTTTATGTAAACAGCCTTATGATGAATCTCAGTATGTAATGATTATTATTAATTTATATTATTATATTTATTTTTTTTAACAAAATTAATATTTTTATTTGTGTAGATTTTATATTTGCTGCGATAAATGTCAAGATTGGTTCCATGGTCGATGCGTGGGTATTTTACAGTCAGAAGCAGACAATATTGATGAATATGTTTGTCCGAATTGTCAACGAAATTCTTCTGTTAACTTTGCTAATATGAAAAATCTTAACGCAAAAGATCTTGATCTTCTTAAGAAATTAATTAAACAAATACAGGTAAGAAAATTACAAATAATAATAATTATGATATTTTTAAATTGATTATCAATATTAAAAATTTAAATAGGCGCACAAAAGTGCTTGGCCATTTATGGAACCAGTAGATCCAAATGAAGCACCAGACTACTATAAAGTTATAAAGGAACCGATGGGTAAATTAACACTATATATATTATATAATTAATTATATAGTTAATTAGTAATTAATATTAATTTTTGTTGAATTTAAAATTTAATATTAAAAAAGATATATTATATCTCTATATTATTTTTACTAATTGTGTTTACAGATTTACAAACGATAGAATTGAGGATAAATGATAGATCTTACAAGAAATTAAGTGAATTTATTGGCGACATGACAAAAATATTTGATAATTGTCGTTATTATAATCCGAAAGAATCACCTTTCTTTAAGTGTGCAGAATCTTTAGAAACTTATTTTGTTCACAAGATTAAAAGTTTAAGAGAAAAGTTTTCTGAAGGAAAGTAAGCAATCAAAAAAAGAAAAAAAAAAGAAAACTGTAACTATAAACGAGTGGAAGTGCTAAGCATCAATGGTTAATTTGTGCAACAACAGAAATGATCTGTGCCAGTAGAAAAGAGACATTCAAATTAGCCATAAGTATGTAAGAGTAGGACATATATAAGTTCACTATTTATTAGAATTGTGTGAACAATTGATTTGCCTTCGTAAAAGCGAATATTATTTGAATAATGGCGTACAGAATTTTGAACCAGAACTTATAATAATTTAGCTTAAAATACATACAGAGTCTAATAAATATTCAAAAAATATTATGAAATTTTATATTTTCAAAAAAGTTTATTATAAGATTATAAATTATGTTCAAATTTGAAATAATATTATATATATTATTTATAATAATTACTTTCATTGTTTATTTATATATGATAATAAAATATTAATTTTTTAAACATATATTGCTTATATAAATTTTTATTAACAAAATAAACAGGAAATATTTGATATGAAAATATTATAATGATATGAACTCAAGTGCATGAAACCATAAAATTTAATAAATATAATAAAATAATATA